AGCAGGACACCTGGTGGTGGTCGGGTGCCGGTGTGAAGACTGCACGAATCCATTCCTTGACCTCTTCCTCGCTGACGCTGTTGGGCGAGGCTGAAACTGCGAAAGCCAAGGCGCCAAAAGTGCTGTATCCCTGCGCTTCCAGGGTGGCGTGATTTGCAGCAGAGAGTCCCACCTTCAAAGCACGTTCTTTAAAGGCTGCTTCCGAGTCCAATGTCACTCCGGCCATGCTCGCAACCCTCTAGCGCTAAGTGACTTGAGTCAAGCGCCTCATACAAACAGACATTCGTGCGATAACTGCAGGCTGTCACTGAGACCGACGACACACCATGTTTTGCCTAAGCTGCATGCAGGCAAAGGTGCGAGGATGGGCCAAGGCCCAGATCTCCTCTGATCGTCGAAAGCTCGCCTCAAACCGGCTCCCGGTCGCGCGCTCTCCGGCACTGAATGCAGCAATCTGGATCTGCTGCTGCCGCGCCGGCCCTTCCGAATTTCATGTACGCTGCGGTCAAGAAACGACCACAAAAGAAATCCGTGCTTCGAGGGTCCTTCAGGCAGTGAACAACGCCTGACACCCGGTGCACGTAAACAAGTTCCAAGTCCACCGGCTGCTGAAAAGGTGCTCTCGCCACATCGGCTCGGTCTTCCCCCGAGAGTGCTTCCTCGCTCCCTTCGGAAGTCGAGCCACCCTCCTCTCCGCTAGCCTCATCGAGAGGCCCGATTGCGGGAGGGATCGTGTTTGCCTTAGGCTCAGTTGGCCTTCTATGCGAGTTTTCAGCGGCTGCAGCGAGGACTCTATCAACCTCCGGCAAATCCGGATCATAGCGTCCCTCACGAATGTCAATGAACATCGCGAGGATCTTGCCGTAGAGAGCGGTGTATGCCTGCCTAGAGTAGATCAAAGGAGACTTGTCTTTGGGCTTCACGTGATGGCCCACCAACCTCTGGTCACCAGAGGAGAAAGAGACCGTCGGGCACCGGGAGGTCCAAGTAGTAAGTGTCGCCTTCAGCGAGTGGGAGCCGCGCTTCAGGACTTCTTCCTCTTCAAAGCCAGCCCTCAAGAGGAAATCTTGCAACCAAGAGGTAGCCTCCCCCGCTAACATAGGCAGGGAAGTCCATTCTCCGGAAGTTTCCGACCAGCCCGGCAGGGTGAAGGCCCCAAGCTTCAATCCTTGGTTTTGGCGAGCTTCGAGCCAACGGTTTGCCCACGGAAGCTTTACACCCGATCCAATCGCTGCATAGGGCAGCAGCCGGGTTTTGGCCTCCTGAGTCTTCGAAGTCTTCGAGGTGAGGCCTTCCGCAATCACAAAGGTCTCGCCATGGGAGGTTTGCACGGTGATTGACTTCAGCCTTTGCGAATCCGTCCACCTCGCCCCCGAGTGTAGGCAGAATAAGTGCTGCCCCATGATACAAGCGTCTCGGTCGTTCTCCATGTCGATAGCCGTCTCCAGCGCCACGACCATCTTAAGAGTGAGCTCATCCCGTTGATTTAGGGGGGCCTTTGTCAGGTAGAGGTCTGCTGCCAAACCCTTGACCCTTGCACTGATGCAGTCGTCGAGGGCGACGTGCCTCAAGACGGCCACCCCATGCAAGAAGCGAAGAGCTTCCAGGAACTGGGAGGCCGAAGTGGGGCCCCCTTGGCCACTCTGGAAAACCTTCATGTAGTCGAAGAGGTGCTTTTCACCGAAAGAAAGCGGCGAGTGCAGGGAGCCGTTCAGTGCCCACCTAAAGAACTTCAGAAGGGCCGAAGTTCTCTTGCATAGGGTGCTGGTGGCCTTCAAGCGGAAAGCCGCCACGAAAGAGCTTTTGATCTCGTCTTCTTCAGCCGCACGACCGACCAAGCCTGCTAGGCTCATCCCCAGCTGAGTGGCCTCGACGTCGAAAAGGATCATAAACTTCAAGTTCTTTAGCGCGTGTGATCTAGCCTCTTCCTCGGACCTCTGCACAGGCATCCTTTCCAAGTATTTTCGAACCATGGGGTTCAGCTTCAGATTAAGCTCCGTCTCCAATGCCGGCTCGGGGTCCAGTGAGGTAGCAACCTCGGGGATGCCAATCAGCCTCAAAGGTCTCTTAACTTCCCAAGCGTAGCTCAATCTGCCTGGGAGCTCCCAGGCTTGTTTCGGCACTGTCTCGGCAGCCTGCTTCCTTTCAAGCTCCGCCGCAACCCTTTGCACATCCCTGTCGTCCATAGGCGAAGCCAAGAGTTTCGGAGCTTCGGGTCCACGTTCGACAACTGACCACACTGAAGCCTCAGCTTCATCACTGGCAGGCCGGCGCACATCGCCGTACCAAGCTTCCTCGGCTGCGGAACCGAGATCGCTCCAGCCACTCACTCCAAAGCAGGCGCCGTCATCAGCCTCCTGAAGATCAAGTTGGTCCCTCGCGTCACTTCCAGCCCGGGACAGCAAATCGTCAAGATGTTGTTGAAACTCGAGATCGCCTTGTTCGTCCTCCAACCGGACGGGGCTTTCGCAACGAGGCTGTCCTTCTGAAAGATGAGAGTTTTGGTCTGGCTCTGGCTGAATAGGGACTGGTTCAGCCGGGGCTTCCTGCGGAGGTTCCTGGGCCGTAGAACCCCTTAATTCACAGGAATCGGCCGCAAAGGATTCCATGGCAGAAGAAAGCCTGGGTCAACAGCTTGAAACAAAACTTGCATGACGAAGCTCAGCCAAGTTTTGGAAGGCTTGCAACATGTGCAATCAAGGCAACACGCAAGACTGCGGGGCACAGCGCTGAGCTTTCTAGCACGATGTCCTCCTGAGCTCAAAATTGTAGCGGAGCCCTGGAAAAGAGGCGACCCTCAAGAGGCCGCGTGGCACTATCCAGGGTTGGGGGTCCGCCGGAAAGCAAGGGCATCGGCTGAGGCAGGTTAGGGATTAGGGTCAGCGCCGCGAAGGGCCAGCACCGCAGCCTCGAGAACAGCAATGCGCGAAGCCTGCTGCTCGAGCCCCTTGAGCCAAAATGGCTTGAGCCAAAATGGCCTCCCAAAGCCACTTGAGCTACAAACTGCCGGTGCATTAAACATTCGGAACTGAGACATGCGTGAAAAGAACTGCATGCAAAGACCAGACAGGTATAAAAACATTTGTGTGATAAAATCATGATTTCACACAAATTTAAAAGATTGAAATCATGCAATTAAACGGTTCGCGGTTGTCGCCATTTTGAGGGCGAAGGATTTCCCTCAAATAAAACAACCTTGGAGTTTAGGTGGAAAGAGTTATCCGCCCGCGGAAACGTGTCTTCCGCTTTGAAGCAAGTGGTGTGTCAACAAGTGTGGCGCCAGGATTGGAAAACTCATCTCAGTTGTCTCGTCAGACCTTGTTTTGGGATCGGGACGTGCTCGCACCTTGAGCTTGATGCTGTCCAGCGGCAGATCCTCATGATAGTTCAACATGCATAGCTTAAGGGAAATATGTTGTGGCCGATAGGAGAAAGCTCACAGCGGGAATCAATAATTCGACAAGGAACCGCTATGTTCTTCGATGTCGTGTTGCATTGGCTGCGAAGATCTCGCCAGACATTGTTTATGTGTGCACCCCTCGCGCCACATGCAGCCAAGTTCTCTACAGACGCCGGCGTCGCTGAGCCAAACTCCTGTGGCACCGGCTAGGGATGTTTAAGGGCTCATCGGGTTTCCGGACAAGGGATCTTGTTTGGTGTCTGAGGGGGAAAGGTTTGGCTTCAGGGTTTAATTAATATTATCGCCGTGGCTTGAATGGGATTTAAATTAGATGGTCAGAAATGACTATTCGACGAAGGAATTCTATCAGTACTTCCCCGATAGTTATATAACATGCCAACTAGACACCAATCAAGATCTTTAAAGAGCTCGTTGGACCCAGAAGCACGAATCTTTGATTGGAAATCCCAAGTTTCGACCCTGTGCATTTAAAGCCGACACGAATGGTTACGTGTTTTTGAACCCAGAGCCCTGTAGATCTAATAGGATTCGGGAAGGTAATTTCATTTATCTGTCTCCATATATACATATATATATATATATAGTTGCGACTTCCTTATGAGAACTCTCCCCGAAAAATCGTCAACCGTATCGGTGCTTGGGACCATTTTATAAACGCTAGCTATACCCAGTACCACGTGACGTTGGAGGGTATACGAAACCCATGATTCCTACAATTTATAATCCGAGGATCTATGGCCACGCAGTCGGCCAGCTCTTGCGCAGACGATGCACTCCATTCCTTGCGTTGGGCTTGGGCTTGTAATTAGTTAAAGATCGCATTATGAGTAGTATTACCGTCACGAGTCGAGTTCCAGGGCAGTTGCAGGGCAGGGTCATGGGTTCGGGTTTGAGGATGTCATTTCAATCGGTTGGGGGGATAGAGCACTTGAATTTTCATACATAGGGTTACCATATACTACAAAGTTTAGGGTTCTGGGCTCAGGGCCTTGAGGGTTTCTATTTTTATGATTATTCACGGATTAGGGTTTCGGTGGTTGGGCTTCTGGAGTTGAGTTGAAGTTCAGTCGGCACTTAAAGCTGAGGGTCCAGACGGTGATCATGGTCAGGGTATCCAGGGTTGTGAGTTCGAGTATTTGGGGGTTTTGGCTCAGAGCGACTATTTTTATTGTGCGAGCAAGCTTCGCCTGAACCAACTCCTGCCAGCAAGCGCTCCCGAATCATTCCCGGGACACCTGCGCAGGAACCAATCGAGAGTTCTGAGTTCGGTTTGAAATTGTCAGACACAGTTTCACAATCAACGCTCAAGGAATGTGAAGTCGAGTGTTTTTTCTCGCGGCTCATGCGATACACGGTGACATCAAGCCCGGCCAAGCGTAAAGGATCCGGATGCACAGCAAAACTATTGCACGCCTTTAAAGACGACTGCTCATGATGCTCTAGCCCGCCTGCAGCCCCAGACTTCATCATGTGGCGATTATACGAGGAACTGCTATGCAGACAGGTTCTAACAGAGCTTCCACAGTCAGAGGCGTGATCACCCCGTCGGATCCAGAGTTCACTTGAAAAATCTGCCTCTTCAGGCAGCCGCTTTGGCCTTCGCGTGGGCCTTCCCTTTTGGGTTGGCCTTTGCTTTCGGGGCCGGACGAATTGCACGCTTCACCGCTTTCATCTTCTCATCATACATGCTGTAGCTCGCTTTGAGCAACATGTTCAAAGTCCCGATCTCTGAATCAGCCTCCTTTGTCGTGACTGCATGCTGAAGCTCGGTGTGCCGCTGCTTCAACAAGTCGATATCAGACCGCATGTCGGAAACCATAGCTTTTGCAAATGCATCGCCCCTGAGCTCAGGAACTAGCAACCCCACAACCTGAAGCCCTATATACTAGAAAACCCCGGATGATCCCTTCTGAATAATATCCTTCCCCTGCGCGAATGATTTTGAAAAGGTTAGGGTTTAGAAATTTCGGGGCTTGGGTTTCAGGGTCTACAGGGTTTGGGGGTTTAAGGGTTTGGGCTTCGGGTTTAGGGTTTAAGGGTTTGGATGAGATTGAAAGGTTAGGGTTTAGAAATTTCGGGGCTTGGGCTTCAGGGTCTACAGAGTTTGGGGGTTTAAGGGTTTGGGCTTAGGGTTTTGGGTTTAGGGTTTAGGGTTTAAGGGTTTGGGCCCGTTTGGGCTAATCCGTAGGGCTTCGACAACACGATCCAGTCCAAGGTGCATCCCGCCGTTCTTGAGCATGGCCTCCATGCCGTCTGCCTCGATGATGCGCTGAGTGCCCTTCTTCAGCAAGTCAAGAGCTTCTTCGGGTGCGGGCTTTGCCTTCTTCTCTTTACGCGGCAGCTTCGGGGGAGGTGGAGGCGGCAGGTCGTTCGAGCCCGGGTCATTGCTGCCACGTGCACCAGAAGAGGAATCGAGAAGATGCGACCTTCATAACGCATTGTTCATTAAAACTTTGCATCTAGCTAGGACTTTGAATGTGCATCCTACACACAGTCTACGTTCATAAGTGTTGAACTATTCCCAGGTATGTATCGAGGCAAGTCACAAGGCACCCGTTGTTCCGGCATGGTCCAGACCAACATCGGCATTCATCTGGAACTCCGTCTCACTCTCGGACTCCGTAACCTCCTCCCTGGAGTCGAAGCACTTGAACAGCTCCCAGTCCTGCCATAGGCAACGACAAATTCTTAGGGACCTCCGAGAAACGACACTGGATCTCATTCCTGGTTACTTTTTGCATAGGATAATTATTGCATTCTTGCGTCGTCGCTTGTAGCAAGTCAGTGAAGGGATGGTCAGGACTTCGGGATGTCAGTCTAACTACAAGCTTGTGGGTGCGGTCAATATGATTTCGTTTTGGTACGATTCCTCCCAACTACATTATTGGGGTTTACTTAGGATTCTAGGGTGTCGGCCCACCTCGTTCTTCGGCTGGTCGGGATGCACCTTCCACCAGCGGCCTCGACCGTCTGGGTCCATGCCTTTCTTGGAAGCACGAATGTCCTCTGCAATCGCCTCTCCATGCCTCGATGGTTTGGGATACACTGCAAATCATAAGGTTCAAGCTTCAGGGTTTAGGGTTCAAGCATTCAGGGCAAGAAGGCTTAGGGTTCTAAATTTAAGAATTAAGGTTTATGGATTCGGTATTTGATGTCTTGGGCTTGAATTCTTGTTGCGGATGGGTTGCTCTGTCTTGAGCAGGTCGAAGCGTTTCCAAACGTACCTGCCGGTTCTCCTGGTGTTGTTGCGCTTCTTTGCATTCAGGACAATCGAGCTTTGAAGCCAATCACACCCGCTGCTGATCCACATCTCATACATGTGTCTCATAATCGAGGATGAGCGCTTCTTCCCATCCTTTGTGAAAGCCTTTTCCCTCACCTCCGGTGGGCAATTGACCGAGCCTGGGATTGGAAAGTTATAGGCTTCGAATTTCCAAACATAGTAGTAGTAGTTGTAGTAGTAGTAGTAGTAGCAGTAGCACAGTAGCAGTAGCAGTAGCAGTAGCAGTAGTAGTAGTAGTAGTAGTAGTAGTAGTAGTAGTAGTAACATTCATAAATGTCCAGCCAAAGAGCGCAAGCTGCGAAAGCAACGCATGTACGAGTTGTGGGCCTCGCGAGCCTTGCGTTCCTCTTCGGTCTCCTCCTCCCGATTTGGCTTCGGCTTGGGTGTCACGCGTGGCTCCACGGCTGTGTCGGTCTCCACCTTGCCTGGTGGCACTGACTCCTTCGTCTCGGTCTCCGCCTTGCCTGGTGGCACTGACTCCTTCGTCTCGGTCTCCACCTTGACACTTGCTGGCACTGACTCCTTCGTCGAGGTCTCCACCTTGACACCTGCTGGCGCTGACTCCTTTGTCTCGGTCTCCACGGCACCTGCTGGCGCTGACTCCTTTGTCTCGGTCTCCACGGCACCTGCTGGCACTGACTCCTTCGTCGAGGTCTCCACGGCACCTGCTGGCACTGACTCCTTGGTCGAGCTCTCCGCTGGCACATCTGCTGGCACACCTGCTGGCACTGACTCCTTCGTTAAGCTCTCCGCTGGCACACCTTCCTTTTGGGTCTTCTCTGGCAGATCTGCCGGCTCCACGAACTCCGTCTTGACATCCTGCATGTGCACAACTGGCCCGGCCGACTCTGGCCCGGTCTCCACTTGATGCTCCAGCTGCCGGGTCATGGCCTCAATATCGCAGGTGGCGGGTCTGCGCAGCATGTCTCGGATAAAGCCCGATCGAGCTCCGGCGGTACGGCAGCGGTAGGCACAGGATCCAACTGCGTTTCCACTTCGGCCTGGGTGGCCTTGGCTGCCGGTGCCGACTCGGGATCGGGCTCTGAATGTGCGGCCGTCTCAACAGCCGCTGTCGTTGGCGTCTCCACAGACTTCAAGAAGCAGGCAACGCCACAGAAGAGTTGCGACCCCTGCCCAAATCGACTTCAAGAAGAAAAAAATATCTAGAAAAACATGTATTGGTAACTATACTATAGCTAGTAGACCCTATGTAACACTGTAGGCCTTCTTGATCGCACCATCCGCAGCACACGCGGCTGCACAGATACAGCAGTTCGTTGGATCCTGACAATTTAGTGTACTGAGATGGTGTTATATTAGTATTGTTATTGCTAGTAGTAGGGTACTAAGCTAGCTGCACTAGTAATCGTACCAGAGGAGGAAGTATGAGAAGAAGAAGTAGTAGTAGTAGTAGTAGTAGTAGTATAGTGCACTACTAAGTAGTAGTAGCAGTAGTACCCGTAGTAATATAGTGGTGGTACTAGTAGTACTAGTCGTCGTAGTAGGAGTAGTAGGAGAGGGAGTGGTAGTGGTAGTGGTGGTGGTACTGGTAGTGCTAGTGGTAGTGGTGGTGGTACTGGTAGTGGTAGTGGTAGTGGTCGTGGTCGTGGTGGTGGTGGTGGTGGTGGTGGTAGTGGTAGTGGTAGTGGGAGTAGCAGTAGAGTAGCAGGAGTGTGGTATGGTAGTACACCGGAACCTCCCTCGCAATAGGAAGCCTTGCAATACGATCCCCATATATATATTTATGTATAACCCTGCTAAACTTTTTGAGCCCACACAAGTCTTTCCCAAGAAGCCCGGCCTGTGAAACCAGGGTCTGAGGTGAAGGCTTAAAGTCGGCAGGATTTGGGGTTTAGGGTTATGAGATCGGGGCCGTAGGGTTGCGAGGTTGGGGGCTCGGGGTTTTACGGTTCAGGGCTTAGGGTTTTAAGGTTCAGGCTTAAGGTTGCAAAGTTGAGAGCTTAGGGTTTTTAGGTTGCTTAAATCGATCCTTGGTCTCCTCCTCTAGCTGGGTGCCGGCGAGATCTTGGGATAGTCCTGGCAACCGGGATCTGTAGACTGTATCTATGTTTTACTAACACATCATCTTCAGATCTGTCCTTTGTCGAGGCTCAGCTCCGCCATATACTGATTCAAGCTAATCGTAGTCGAGGAATCGGAATGTCGGGGCTTGGTAGAGGACTCTGAAAAGCTAGGAAGCCTTGGGACTTCGCTTGCAGTCAAGGACAGGGATGACACGCTGCGATGCCGCTTGGCATCCGGGGACTTGATGTTTCCGGTGGACATAGGGCTCGGTCCCGGTGCTGCTGGGGCTGCTGCCGGGGTCTTGATGCTTCCGGTGGACATAGGGCTCGGTCCCGGTGCTGTTGGGGCTGCTGCAGGGGTCTTGATGCTTTCGGTGGACATAGGGCTCGGTCCCGGCGCTGCTGGGGCTGCTGGCGGGGTCTCGATCACCGGGGTCTTGATGGGAGGTCGGGCCGGTGTTGCCAACGGGCGAGGGTCGCTGGCACTACCGTCAGGCTTATCCTTCTTCCCATGTTGCTGCAAAGCTTTATCGACCATTGCCTGCACTCTTGCAGACACTGGTGCAGCCGCAGCTGACATGTCGCCACGCTTCCCCATCGTAGCTACAGGGCAAATCACGACCGTAAAAGCTAAAAGCAAATCTTTCGAACAACGTGCCAACCAAGGAGCGGTGGATATGGGTCTCGTCAGAACTACACACAACAAATTAAAGGGCCTGTAGGATAAGTCTAAGCTTATAGGGTCCTGTGGTAGGAGGCTAATCACGTACGGCTTGGTTCCTAGCTGCATGTGTAGTATACAGATTCACGCGGTTTCACGCTTTTTCACGCTGTTTCACGCGAGGCCTGTGTGAGGATGGTCTTTGGGGATATTTTTCACGCTAGTTCACGCTTTTTCACGCTCTCTCACGCTTGGCTCGGGGATCATTATACTGATTATACCGGGGTTCGGTCGATTGTAGGGACAATTTCGTCTCACCCTGCAATAAATACCAGCACATACATACAGTACCCCTGTTTTCCTGGTATAGGGTCCGGGCCCTGTGTAGACACATATGTATCATATATACCCATAACTCTAAAGCTTCGCCTTTATGTCCTTATAATATAATTATTATAACCCCAAATGGACTCTCGAAGTGAAGGATCTGTGAATCTAGAACTTAGCAATGGTTCCTGGATTGCTTACCATATATCATTGCGGCCTCTGGCCACAAAGCAAGCCCCAAGCCCAATGCATTCCCACACGTCGGGGTCACAAGAATATTGAGCCGGGTCTCGGGGTCTAGAGCACATCAGGGTCCCTCGGAGTCTATAGGGGTATATTGAGTAGGATCTATGATCTAGGGCTTCGGGGCTGGGGGTTCTGGATCTGGGGTGATAATGAAATGCTTAGCCGAAGCCTTTACCTGGCTACGAATTAGACCATAAATCTGCTACTGCACCGAGGTCTAGAGTCCCACGGAGTCTAGTGGTATATTGAGGGGGATCTAGGATCTAGGGGTTCGGGGCTGGGGGTTCTTGGAGACTACCCATGACAATCTGAGGTTACTCTTGTTGCCGCATTGCCGATCTTCAATCTCCTTCGGCGGCACCTGGTCCGGCTGCTTCTGGCCAGCTGCTGGTGCTTGGTTGCCAACCACAAATTTTGGGTTTGGGGGGTGCTGCGCGAGCCCTCGTCAAAATCCCGGGTCTGTAAAGCTGGTGCAACAAGGTAGTACACAGTGTAGTTGCCGATGTTACACGAAGATCGCACCCCATTCCCATAACAAAATTGCGTGTGCCCGCAAAGCTTCACCACGAATCCCAGCAGAAAGCCCGAAATTAAACTATGCCGAACACATCAACACGGACCGTTCGATTATCTAGCCCTGTAACTCTTGTAATCTAACCTATAACATACTAACCTATGTAGAATACCTCCCCAAGAAGCAAAACTCAATTACCCAGTCTAACCTATGATAATACATTCTGGTCTACAATATATAATGTAACCTAACCTATACTAACCTATGTAATGGAATACCACCCCAATATATAAGCAAAACTTAAATACCCAGTCTAACCTGACTATATGATAATACATCTAACCTAACGCACTAACCTATGTAATAGACTACCCTCCAATAAGCAAAACCTAATTGCCCAGTCTAACCTATGATAATACATTGTGGTCCAGAATATCTTATAATAATGTAATCTAATATAACCTATCATATGTAGAATACCCCCCCCAATAAGCAACACCTAATTACACAATCTAACCTATGATAATACATTCTGGTCCACAATATCTAATGTAATCTAACCTAACATACTAACCTATCTAGAATACCCCCCAACAAGGAAAAACCTAATTTCCCAGCCTTGTAACCCCACACAATATTATCGCAAGGACATGCTACGTGCGTGTTAGAGCCCCGTAGTTCTTACTTTGTAAAATACTGCAAGCTTCCCTTAATCATAAGCAAAGACTAGCAGCCTGTAGACCCCGGCCCAGATTGGTAGACCTACATAGTTTAAATGCAAGACCTAGCGGACAAACCCACAACCTATGGTGTGGCCTCGTTGAAGAGAAATGTTAGGAGTAGTTTGACCCGGTATGTGAAGAAACTAAAGACTCTGGTCACCCTAACAACACGAACTGAGATTCGACGGCTTCAGCGAACACTGGGTGTTTGGTGCCTTTGGGTGCCTCTGGTGTGGCCTGGCCTCTCTGTACTACCTAAGAATTCGAAGTGATGGTGGGGTCAGAGCACATGTGGCTGACTCGAGCATCCCATACCTTAGAAAGGAATAGTCCGCAAAGGCACCCAATGACCCCGAATTGCTTCGGCAATCAGAAAGGACTGCAAGTCCTCTAGACCAGCAGCGGCCCAGCATGGAAACTCCTTCGTTGGAATGTCGGGATGAAGGTTTAAGGCTTAGGGTTGGGGTTCCAAATGTTGCAAGACTGGCAGCAGGAGATATGTCAAGGTGCGAGGTTCTGCACTGCATTGGTGATCATACCGATGTTCAGCTGGGGTCCTCGTGCTTCCTGGAACAGCATCGGTTCGATGTGATGTGAATGGGATCGACTTCACAATGCAAGATAGACATGGTATACCTGCGGCCCGCCTCTTGCCTGTTGTGATCAAGATGCATATGAGCAATTGCACGAGCGAAAGCCCGAGGATAGGCCGCAGTCGTAGATAGTCGTTTCGTGCCAGTCCTCATGGATATGTAATTTAAGTACTGCTAGATTCTGCTAGATTTTGCTCAGAAACTGGGCCTGGTCCAAACGCGTAGAAAGCAATATCAGCCAAGGTACACAGCTGCTGTCCGACCCTGGCCGCGATTGACTCTCTTCACCACCGACTTTGCAGCTTCGTGGAAGTCCTTCTTCCTATGTTTAGACATTCGGTTGCCGATCTTGGGCAGCCACTTCCTTGATTGCAACTGGCGTGGGAAGCCGATGACATCTGCAGATGTTTGCAAGGATGCACATTGGTAGTAAGGCTAGCGCGAACATCCCATGAGATAGCTGGGTTTCGCATTCGGGGCCCCGTAGAGGCCCATCCAACTCGGATCCACACGATGTACTGTGACTCGTTCTGATCTAGAGAAGTAACAGTCCTAAATGCGTTTCGCAAAAAAGTTAGTAGTTTGATCATGACAAGATGCAACGAGCAAACATCCCATCCAGCATCACATGTACAGCCATTCAAAACATCTCTCAAGAATGTGAACAGCGGGATGTGCTTCAGCACACTGGACGCGGGCTGTTCGATAGCACTCCATACCCGGCGGACCGTCGCTAAG